TTTTAAGGGAATAAAGTTCCCTTTACACCAAATGACAGAGTTCAAGCTCCACGGACGATCTGGTGTTAAACTGGCTACCTTGGACTCTTGAGAGATTCCTTTCTTGGCCCAAGGAGAAACTTCCTGTAGGTCTGGTGGTGCTCACCCATAATCCCAGCTACTCGGGAGGCTGAGGCAGGAGGACCACAAGTTATTTAGCCAGGCTCTTATCAACTTAGTGAAGACTCGGTCTCAAAAAAAAAAAAAAAAAAAAAAAAAAGACTGGAGGCGGGGAATAGCTCTATGGTAAAGCGCCCCTAGGATCAACCCCCAGTATCAAAAAAAAAAAAAACAAAACAGAAAAGAAAATTACTTCTGACTACAAGGAATTTCTACCCTGTACACTGAACTCAGAACTTAACTCTGCCATAAGATTCCAGGGTGGGMCGCGATAGTGCGGGTCTGTAGGCTACTCTGGAGGTGGAGGCATGAGGTTCGCTCGAGCCTAGGAGCAAGAGGCCAGCCTGGGCAAAATAGCCAGACCTCGTCTCAAATCAAAAACTAAAATCAAAAGGCTCCACTGCATAAAATATGCAATCCATAAATGCATCAACGCACACGTAAACCTCCACAACGCATCATTCTAAAAGTCTTATCCAAGGCCCCCTCGTTCACGGGCTGCAACGTTAGCCGTGCCCACGCTCCTGGAACTCGGCGTCCCCGGCTCCTGCAGGGCTGCATCTCCCACACAGCGGGCGCTCGCTACCGCCCCCGGCACACGTCCGCGTGCCCCCGGCGCTGCGTGCCCGCGCTCGGCGCCCTCAGCCCGCCCCGTGCTGACCGGCGGCCGCGCGCCCTCGGAATCCAGGGAGGCGTCTGGGAGGACGTCGTCGTAGGAGAGGACGCCCACGGTCCAGCCTCGCTCCTGCCGCAGCCGGCGGCCCAGGGCGCGCGCGAAGGTCGATTTTCCCGCTGCAGGCAGGCCGCACAGCACGCAAAGGCCTCGCTCCCGCGGCCCTGCGCTACCGGCAGCCTGGGCGCCCGCCGCGGTCTCCATGCTGTCCGCGGCCGGGTGCGGCACCGGAGTCCGCCAGTTCGCCCAGCGCGCACGCGCCGCGCTCCCGCTGCCCTGCTGCGCCCCCTGGCGCCGCGGCGAAGGAATGGGCGAGGCTTCGAGTCCAGGAGGGATACCCGGCGCAGGTGGTTTCCCCCGGCGCCCGTAGGGTCACGCGGCCAGCCTTCTAGCCGCGGAGTCCACGGCGCTGCGTCTCCTTCTCCCCGACATTGCTAATGGGTCCCAGGACTGGCTTAGTCTTCCTGCAGAATCACTCTCCCTTCCAGAAACGAAAGCCATTAGGACTTGGGCCTCGGTTTTGTTACCTGCCCAGGAAAAACCCAAGAGAGACTCTGGGCATTTGTATCCAGCAGGCTTTAAAAGGTAAATTCCCGGAGACCCAAGAAGAGGAAGCGAAGCGAGGACCGGGCTCCGCTGCCCTTGCTAGAGGTGAACCGGGCAAGAGCGGAGTAATATCAGTTATGGCGCCGGAGCGCCACCTGTCGGCGACAAGGGTGAGGACATGCGGGCTGGAAAGGAAATCCTTGGACCTCTTCTGCGGTGCAGGGCGCAGGGTTGGAGAGAATGTTAATGTGGGAATACTGTGTAGGGCAAAAGGAATTCAGATGCTACTTTTTCATCGTATTTTTCGGAGATGATTACTTTCATGACGGTTATGTTCAAAATATGGAACACGTGAGGATACAATCAATGTTTACTGGGCTGAAATACAACCAGTAACCTGATATACTTTTAGAGCACGTGCAATAAATCGTCTCCTTTTCATTCGGATTGCAAATGAACAGTATTGCAGTATTGAGTTACTCCCCATCTCATTTTTTTTTGAGGGGGCGGGATACTACTGAACCCAGAGATGCTTTACCACTGAGATACATGCCCATTTCTTCTATTTTTTATTTTGAGGCAGAGTCTTGCTGAGGCTGACCTGGAATTTGGAATCCTCCTACCTATGCCTCCCCAGTCGCTGGGGTTACAGGCACGTGCCACCACTGTGCCTGGCATTTCATGGCATTTTATCATTATTGGTTCAATACAAGGTCCCGGCTCATTAATTTACCATTCGCTTTTATCCCTTCATTCTCCACACTAACACTTGTTTCTCACCTTTCTTAAAGACAGCCATTTATTTTTCTTTATAACATGGTTACTTTTGTTTTGGTTATCTCGTTTTTTAATTTTTTTTTTGTTTAGTTGTAGATAGGCACAATACATTTATTTATTGTGTGGTGTTGAGGATTGAACCCATTGCTATGCAAGCATCACACGTGCTAGGCAAGCACTCTACCACTGAGCTACACCCCCAGCCCTGTTTTGATTATAGCTTAAAATAAATAGACTTTTAAGAGCAATTTAAGATTCACTGCAAATTTTAGCAGAGTATACAGAGTTCTCATGCACCCCTTTCCCATCCCCCATACAGCCTCCTCCACTATCACTCACCAGAATGATACCTTTTCTCCAATTGATGAAACTACATTGAGTATTGTCACCCAAAATTCTGTCGTTTACATTGGAGTTCACTTTTGGAGCTGTACATTCTGTAGGTTTTGAAAATATATGATGATATGTCGTTACCATTATAGTGTCATACAGAAGAGTTTAACAGCCCCCCAAACCCTCTGCATGCCATCTATTCATTCCTCCTTCTCCTCTAATACCTGGCACCCCTTAGATTAGAATCATAAAGTCTTTTTAGATTTTTTTTTCTTTCATTAGTAATATGCATTTAAAGTTTTCCCATCTTTCCATGGCTTGATAGCTCATTTCWTTTTTGGCACTAAACAGTATCCCAATGTCCATAGTTTAATTTTCCATTTACCTGCTGTTGGACATCTTGGTTGCTTCCAAGTTTTAGCAGTTATGAATAATGCTACTATAAACACCCATGTGCAATTTTTTCTATAAACACAGGTATTCAATTCATTTGGGTAAATGCCAGAAGCTGGGTTATATGGTAAGAGGATGTTTAGTTTTACAACTGTCTTCCAGAGTGGCTGTGTGGTTGTGCATTTTCACCAACCAGGAGTGAGACTTCCTGTGCTCTACATCCTCACCAGCATTTGGCATTGTCAGTGTTTTATATTTTTGCCATTCTAATGAGCATGAAGTGATATCTCATTACCCTATTAGTTTCAAATTCCTTGATGGCCTAAGATGATGTGCACCTTCTCACATACTTATTTGCCATCTGTATATTTTCTTAGTTGAAGTTGTCTGTTTAGATCTTCTTGCCCATTTTTAAATTGGGGTGTTTGTTTTCTTATTGTTGAATTTTAAGAGTTTTTTGTGTATTTTAGATAACCATCTGTGGCAGTCCGCCTGCAGCAAAATAGGGGGGGGGTGACGAATAACTTGTGTTCGTTGATACAGCAGGAATGGGAGCCGTTTATTGTAGGACAACAGAGCTATTTATACATTTTGCACAGCTTATCTTAATTAGCATAAACTAGATACATCAATCAACCAATAASGAATCTCCACACTTAATGGCTCGCTTTTGTTACTTCTCAAACCACTCCCTCTGGCATTTTGCCAGGCACCATCCAGACTTGTTTACGAACTCTAACATTTCTCTGGCAAAATACCAGGTGTTATTTTTGACTTATTTACAGACCTTAACAAGGATCCTTTATCAGATGTATAATTTCTCTCCGCCTGTGGGTTGTCCTTTCATTCTCTTGACTGTCTTTGGCAGAGCAGGACTTTTAATTTTAATGAAGTCCAGTTTACCAATTGGGTTTTCATGAATTACTCCTTTGACATTAAATCTAAAAAGTCATCATGAAACCTAGTCTTCTTAACTTTCTCCCATATTATCTTCTAGGATTTTTATGGGTTTTGTGTTTTACGTTTTGATCCATCTGAGTTAATTTTTGTGGAGGACGTAAACACTGTGTTGCATGTTTTAAAACACTGGAGTCCAGTTGTTTCAGCCCCAAGTTTTCTGGCAAAGGAGCTAAGGAACTGCAACAAAGATCAGTTCAATTATGTTTCTATGGGTCTGGTTCTCACTGTCTAGTTGTTTGCCAGCGTCCCCATACCAGGCTGTCTTGATGACTGTAGCTGTGTGTAAGCCYTGAGGTGAGATAGTGTCAGTTTTCCACTCTCATTCTTCTCTTTCAATATCATGTTGGCTCTTCTAGGTCTTTGCCTCTACATAAACTCTAGAATCCGTTTGTTATTGTTTACAAAACAACTTGCTGAGATAGATTGGGATTGCAGTGAATCTATGGATCAAATTGGGAAGAACTTCCACCATTAAGTATGATATAAGCTATAGGTTTTTTGCAGATATTTATCAAGGTGAGAAAGTGCCCCTGTGTTCCTAGTTTGTTGCAAGTGGTTTTTAAAATATGGTAGTGGATTTTGTAAAATGTTCTTTCTGTATTTATTAATGTGACCATATGATTCTTTTTCCTTCTTTAGTCTGTTGATATGATGAATTTCATCGATTTTTTAAAATGTTGAACCAGCTTTGTATAGCTGGAATAGATTCCACTTCATTGTGTGTATAATTCTTTTTATATATTATTGTATTAAATTTGCTGATATGTTGTTAAATTAGCAGGTTACACACATGGCAACATTGTATTACTACTGGAGGGTGTTGAGGTGGACCGAGGTAGATAGATGAGGATCCAAGAAATGGGGCCAGGGGATGTGGACTCTTTGCCCTGCTCTGCACTCCCTTCCTTCTGTAGTTCCAGGTTGACCACTCTGCCCTACTAGAAAGGGAGCTACTCGTGGCTATCAGTGGTGAGCCAGGCTTGTTCTGTGTGTGTGAACTATGAGCATTGAGCACTAAGTGGACTGGACTGACATTGCCTCTCTGGGCTGCCGACGTGTGTATCCTTTTGCGTGACCTTCCAAGATGTCAGTCAGTCTGCTAACAGCAAGACATTTCGAAGCTAGACTCAACCCCTAAACATGACCCTTGCCTCCTTTGAATGGCTTCTCCCCAATAGACCCCAGATTCCAGGCGAGCTCCCTCTCATTCTTGCCTGCCTTGCCTCCTTTATGAGAGCTGGGTCAGAGGGACCACCACAGAACCCAAAGAGAAAGGTATTTGTTTTGGGGTGATGATTTCGTGCCAGCCCAGTTCTCCTGGAGTGACCCTGACYGGCTTAGTTGCGTGCAGCCACAGCAGTATTTCACGCTCCTCTCATCCCAGCTTGGGACCCCCACAAGTCATCCTTCCACAGTACACCTTCGGTGGGTGCCATCTGTGGCCTGTTTGTTTCTGCACTCAGTGGGGTCAGGCTGGGTACTTGGTACAGACAAGGGTGAGAAGTTAGTGATGTGGGAAAAAAACCTTCTGAACCATGTATAGACTGTCATCCCCACCACCCCTTGTTGGCAGAGATCCCAGGCCAGCACCTATCCTAGCTCCCAGGGTTCTGAGTGCTAAAAGAAAATCTTCTCTTTCAGAAGAAGCCTGGCAGCTACAACAGAGATTGGGTGACTGCKGAAGAGGTTAGGGAGCACCTCTTCCTACCAAGACAGCTTGTGGGGAAGGAGGGGAGCAAACCGCACAAGATCTGTCTGGAGACCGAGAGGCAGTCGGAGATTGACAGGCATTTCCTGGAGTCAAGGCAGCTGGGAGGGAACTAATAGAGCAGTGGTAGCTGGAAATTACCTCAAGATCAGTCCAACTGAAGTTTGTGCAGATTTAAACACTTGTTGATCCCAGGTCAATTTGATTATCTCCAAAACGAGTGTGGTCCTCTTTCCTCTCCCCCTTTCAATAAAGAGCACTACCACCCACCAAGCTTATCTAGGAGTCACACGGATTCTTCCCTCTTGTTCACCCCCAAATCCAGTTCATTTGCAGGTATCCTCCATTCTCCCTTCAAAATTTGTCTCCATTTTCATTCCAGTCCTCTACAAATTCATAATCTTTTAATTGGAACCACTGAATCCAGGTGTAGAAGTTAGTAATTTTTTGGTGTTTGGATGGGTAATACATATAATGTGTGTGGATTTTGTAAAATGTTCTT